TTGGTGCGGGTTTCCGACGAATGCCGAAGTTTCTTCGGGCACATAACTTCTTAGAAAATTGCCTCCAAAAGTCACTTTACGATCGAAAAATCGCGTTCTAACGTAGCGGAATGTATTCGCGACGCCCAGAAGGGGCCCCAGCTCGATTCGCGCGAGCACGGTTTCGGAGGAGATACGGAAAACGACACTTCGGCTCTTTCTACTATTATATAGTAGATATTATGTACATAACGTGTGGCGAGTCAAATCTTACAAACATAAATTGTGTCAAATCTTATTGTCGCTTAGACATTCGCAGCTGCTCTACCATCATCTAACTTCTGATTTCATCTACCTCAAATCTTTCGATTGTGAGATGATCCCCCTTTCCCCGGGGGCTTACCCAGTATCCCTGCATACCTGGGTGGCTGTGCACGGGGCAAGGTGGCACGGAGCAGTCTATCTTAGCAGCATAGTCCAGCGTGAATGGCCAGAGCGGCGGATCGTTCATGTTCGTTGACCAGCTGGCGTCCCACGTGTATCCGTTTTCGGACATCATTTCAAATTGCCTGCGGGATTTAGCGTTGTATAACTCACGCATTACGACTGTGTTATACCGTATGGCTGAGTTATATGACTGAGGCATTAATCCGTAATTACACATGCATTATTGCTATATTAATACTGTGTTACTAATGTATTACTACTGCGTTAATAATGTATTAACACTATACATTAAGTAATGCATTACTATAGTATAAGCACTGCGTTACCAATGTAGGTATCGATTCTGTATTACTAAGGTAATACTGCTGTATTATTAATGTATTGCTATAGTATTACTAATGTATGCCTATAATTACTACTGCACGACTATGGTATTACCGCTAATTAAAAATCTTATATTTATTACTGTTAATCTTTCACGTGGCGTCTTCCAATTTTCACGCTTTAGAAAAACGCGTTCCTTGAATGCTCGGGTATCGATTTATATTTTAATGTCTTTGATGTCTAGTAGTAGTAGTGTCTTTGATTTGTGACGATTTTCGCTCACCTATCGCCTCCCATCTGTAGATAGGGAGCTCTCATGCCGACGACGTCATTGATGTGACCGAAGGTTGACATCATCTGTTTCTCTCCGCCGAATTCCGCAGCCCACTCAGCAACGGACGCGTCCTTCCAGTACTGCGCCGGCCACCGGTGACTGCGGGTATGGACAGAAATAGAGAGAAAGGAGGAAGAGAGAAAGGGAGAGAGAGAGGGAACAGAAAGAGAGAGAGGGGTTAGAGAGAGAGAGAGAGAGAGAGAGAGAGAGAGAGGAGGGGTTAGAGAGAGAGGGAGAGATAAAGAGATAGAGAGAGGGGTGATAGAGAGAGAGAGAGAGA